CGCCACTCGTCTAGTCATTTGCGTCATCGCCTGTCGTTGACCCTCGAAAAGGTTTTATTTTTTTATAAAAAAAGTGCACGTTTTTTTTTGTTTTTTTTTTAAATTTTACAAGGTAAATTCCAGTTATGATATACACCTTTGAAGAAACGTTCACACTGCTACGTGTAGGTGCCGATTTTTACGGCCAATTTTGGATCCATGCTCGGCATTTCAAACACCCTATATAAATATTAAAACTGTTAATTCACCGTTCTTTATCCTCTTGCATGTCTAAATTGAGCAAACGTAGTTAAATACCGCTTTTTGAAAGTGCATCTAGATCTCGTGATCTTATTCAAAAGAACACTTCTTACGCCGGTACCATGGTTCGCGTATCGAACATAATCGAATTTAGTAAACGGAAAGGCGGCTGTATAAGCCTACCTGTATCGCACTGAAATACAAGCCGGTACCTTTGGGGTGGTGTGTAAACTCGAGTGGGAGAAAATATCGATTGAACTTCCAGACGCGGCAACACTTTCGGTGTATACATTGTCGAAATATATCGTTTTGGTTATTTTATTGTTGCGCATAAAATTTGCTGTCGGGGAGATTTTTTAACAACCATGTATCGCATTATACGCCACCTAAAGAGACGATCGAAAAACTCATGGTTCTACGCAATACACAGTTTCCGAAGTGTTCGTATTCGGCAGGAAAGCGAGCTCACAGATCTTTCTTTTCCAATATGTTTGAATGTAATAAGGGTGCATCATTTTAACGCTCGAAATGCACGAAACTTGATGCATAATTCGTTTTTACCGTCGGTTTTATACCATAATTCTCGGAGCAAATACACCGTTCGACGTTCTGCACAAAACAAATGTCCAATTCTTTTCGGATAGTTTCTCACAATAAAATGATGCACCCTCACTGCATTCTTTGTCCAGACGCATGCAGAGAGCAAATTGTTTTTCGCATTTGCTGCTATGCATGAATAAATCTGAATGCACTTCGCGATATAAGGACTGCACAAGGAATCATTGCTTTAATTTCTCTTATATAAATCAGCTTTCTGGAAGGCCTTACTTTTTTAAATAATCCTGCTACCTAGGGGCAATAATTACTTCCGGGTTTATTCTTCTGTCTATCCATATTTTATCTGAAGAAGCTTCGACACAACCACTTGTGATATTTTTTTAGGATCATTACTATGCGTTTCCAGCCTAAGCGATACCGTCCGGGAAAAAAATGTTCTTTTTACTAACGCATTTTAGTGTTTTATTCGATTGCTACACTTTACTGTCCTGTTTAAGGGAGACCGACATAAAATAACTTGTTTTAAAGGGCTTTATATCAAACAAATAGATTTCCTTAGAATAAAAAAAGTACTTGCGCTATATTTCTGGTTTTAGGCACAATATAGGAGGACGTAGCCCGCCCTGGGCGGCCGTCCCGGAACGTAGTTAACTACGTTCTCCATCTTGGCTCACATTGGACGGATATTCTACTTTGACGTGTAGAATACCGTTGTAAAATTTTTTCTTCGTGCCGCGGTAGTATGCTATTTGACAGTTTTTTTTTTCTTTGAGAAACAATCTATATAAATATAGTCATTATTGATTTAAAACGCATATTCCGCTTTGGCTTCAAACGACAGCAAACATGGCTGCCGGCGTTTGCGGCCAGAGATTCTCCCACCGCGAAGCTCGCTGTGCTCGCTTGATTTTATAAGCGCGAGTTGCTTCGCGTTCACCGAGGTGTTTATAGAAATATATTATCAACCAATGTAGTTAGCAGCAAACAACTGTCACAAGTACGCGCTTCGGAAGCGCTGTGAAGATGCTTCTCTTCACGAAGGGAATGGCCTAATCGTAGCGTCCCACGTCTACTATGCTGCTTGGTGTGGCTTGATTTTTCATTCTTTACGCGTGGTAATACCAAGTAAATACGTTGGTTCACGTAAAAGTGGCCCCGCTGCTCTGTTGCTCTGTGAAGTTTGCAACCGTCGTCATTGCAAGCGTGGTTTTATTACCGAAAAGCATTGGCGTAAACAGGGGGGGGGGGGGGGGGGGGCACCCCTTTCGAAGCTTGCAGGCTGGGTGAGGGGGATTGGGTCACGTCCATGCTTGGACGAACCCACGCAAACAAAGAAATAACGAAATAATAAATAAGACTCTCAAAAGCACTGAAGATAGGCTGAGCGGGGTTCTAAGTGCAGTTACCGATAATGGAAACAAAATTCGTGAATTGGAAAGCGAAGTACGGTTGTTGAAGAACACTATAGAACACCAACACGGAAGGCTTGTTGGATTCGAGGATAGATCCCACCGCAACAAACTTATAGTTTTCGTCATTCACGAGGAACTTGGAGAAACAAGGAGTCTGTAGCAAAAGGTGCTTGGTGACATCTTTAACAAGCAACTGGGTTTGTCATTAACATCAGTCGAAAGAATTCAAAGAATAGGGCGGATCACCCAAGGCAAAAATAGACCGGTGGTCCTAAGCGTATTCCACCATAATGAAAAGGTCTCGGTGTTTAAAAACTGTAACAAACTAAAGGGAACTGCAGAGTAAATCTCTGATGACTTATCAAAAGACACGTTGTAGACGAGGAAGAAACTGCGGGAGTCAGCACGCGACGAAAAACGGAGAGAAGCAAAGGTTAAACTTGTTCATGACAGACTTTGCGTTAATGACGTGGCGTACACTTAGAATTCAGAAAAAGAACAAAGGGTAAAGCTTAATACACATCCACATGGCATTTCCACGCCTGAATCATAACAAGACTGACATCAGGAGATTCCTAGATTGATAATATTGAAGCTAAATGCGCAAAATGCGCAAGTCTGACCGACTGGAAGCTGTTCTACTCGATCACGACCCGCATCTTGTCGTGATATTGAAAACATGCTTGCGTCAAGAAGTGTGGGATATCCAAGTGTTCCCTCCCGGTTACGATTTGTTGCGGCGCGACAGGGACACGAGAGTTGGGGGGGGGGGGGGGGGGAGGGGTCGCTTTGCTTATAAAGCGGTCCTTGAGGTATCAGGCTGTAACACGTATCCCACAGCATGAGAGTGTATGGTGCAGAATATTCATAAAACATTGGAACGTTCTGGTCGGCGGAGTATATAGACCGCCATCCTCAGGCATCAGTTTTATTAAAAAATTTATAATTATTTGACAGCAAGCTAATGAACGCACTAAATTAGTTGTCAGAGATTTTGATTTCTCTCACATTAATTGGAACGAAAACATTGTCGAAGAGTAAGGTAGGAAGCAAGGTAATTACTTGTTTGAAGTATTGTTAAAACACGGCCTCGATCAAATAGTCCGGGAACCCACAACAACGTTTGGGCCACAAAATTCCATTTTAAATATCTGCTTTCTTTCGACGCGCATTCGTGAGTACGAGGTGTCTTTTGTACACAGGATTTCAGATCATAAGGTGGTGCGTGCGACGGTAACACATAATAGCGCCCCTCAAAAACTGAAAAACAAAATACGGCACTGGTTTACAGCTTCGAAAAAAAAAAAAAAAAACTGATGACACAACTGTTTTTGATTATTTCGAATACCCTCTCTACTCTTTTCGCCGGAACGCTAACGTTGAAAGCCTCTGGAATTACTTTAAGGAAGCAGTAATCTACCGTCTAACAGCGTATGTTCTTCGGATAATAAAAAAATAAGATTAATAGGACAAACCTTTGGGTCACACGTGATTTCATCCACATAAAGCGCAGATTAAAACGTTGGAGATTGTGTAAGCACCGGAACTTATGAGCAATTAGTTCTTTAAGCCGTGATGTGAAAAAGAAACTCTAAAATTCCAAAACTAACTTCTTTGCAAATGCGATTAACACAATTTTAAAAACGTCACCACATAAGTTCTGGCAACATCTGTTTCCTAAGCAGAAAGTTATAAAATAAGTTTATGTGGACGGTGCTGTATGCGATAATCCGCTTACCGTAGCAAATGAATTCAACAACTACGTTCACTCGGTTTTTTTCAGTGGGTACATCTGTAAATAATCTAACTGACAACGAACCCAGCCTCCAAACACAGACTATTCAAATTAATTTTTTACGAAGTGAGGGTCTTACTACTAAATATTGACATAAAAAAAATCACCGAGACCAGATATAATCGTAAATGAATTTCCGAGGCGTTACTGCGAACCGGCTTCGCGTTTTTGACCGCAATCTTTCAAGAGTCGCTATATAAATGTCGCTTACCAAATGATTGCATGGTTACTTGCCAAAGTTGTACCCATTCACAAGTCGGGCAACCATCTTGAAGTGAAAAACTACAGGCCAATATTGTTGACATCAACAACATGCAAAATGCTCGAACAGGTCATTTCTAGACATCTCGTTGATTTTCTAAAAGACAGCAACACCTTTATGATAAACAACACGTTTTTTCGCAGGAAGCTATCGAATATTACTCAGTTATTTAAATCAACTCCTCAGTTCGCAAATGTGCTAAATGTTCGTGGCCAAGTAGATGTTGCATCTATCGACTTATCTAAAGCAATTAACAGAGTCTCGCATACAAATTTACTTGAAAAGGTGTCGCTTCTTGGTGCTGATAAGAACTTGGTTCCTTGGATAAAATCATACTTATCTGATTGGACACAGTGCGTTGAAATTGACGGTCATTCCTCATCCGTTTTCGCGGTCACGTCTGGCGTACCCCAGGGATCTGTTTTGGGGCCAGTTTTGTTTTTAGTGTATTTTAACGATATCGCTCTAGATTTCCACCCGACTGCGGAAGTGTGTTTGTTTGCTGATGACTGTTTGGTTTACATCTCCGTAATAACTTTAGATGATCAAAAATTATTAAGTGACTTCTTGACAACTATGTTCCACTGGTGTGAAAAATGGGATATGCGAAATAATTTCGATAAAACTACTGTCTTAAACATAACCAAAAAGAAGTCTCCGTTGCTGTTTCCCTAAGAACTAGATGGTGTAGTCTTGCAACGTTCAAAACACTATTAAGCATCTTGATATTACTATCTCGGGTGACCTCAGCTGGAATACGCACTTTGAAAGTGTATATAATTATGCATATAGAAAACTTTGTTTTATGAGGCGATCTTCAAGAGGGACGAATTCCGATATCCGGACCAACGTTTATATAACTCTAGCGCGCCCAACATTGGAATATGCATCGATAATATGGGACCCCCACGCACAAACTCAAATAAATAAAGTGAAGCGCATTCAAAGGCTAGCAACAAGGTTCATTTTTCCTAAATACGATAGGCCCGAGTCTGTTCCGGCATTGTTGAGGGAAGCGCGATTATCCTTTTTAGAGCCAAGACGAAGAATTGCGCGGCTGAGGTTTTTATATTTGCTGTATTTTAAGTATCCCCATAATGACACGCAAAATTATATCAGATCTGGAAGATGGTCTCGACGACTAAACAACGAATTGTCAGTTGACCCTTTTATGCCCAATATTGATATTTTTAAATATCCGTTACTTGTAAAACCAATTGAAGAATGGAGCAGATTACCCTCCTAGTGTTTTTTCTGACGTCTCTTCTGTTGAAGAATTTGAAGAGAGGTTGATGAACTGGTTTGCTGGCGAGTAGTTGCACCTGTGAGAATGATTGTTCTATCTATACTTTCTTGTGTTGCCTGTATTTTGTTTTATGTATTACTGTATACAATGCTGCAATCCTCCAAACCGCAAGGGTTGGCAATATTTGAAGTAGAAAAAAATAATTAATATGACCTCTGCCTAACCTGCACCTAACAAAGTAAATATTGCACAAAATATGTCCTGAATCAAAGAAGATTTATCCCACTTATGCCCTTTTATTTTAGTTTCTTTCTTTTTTCAATGAGATGTACACGATTTTGACGTTGAAAGCATTTTATATTGTGCTTTTGACATTTTGTATCTTGTCACAAAAAACAAAACAAATCTCATTCCTTCGAAATGTTGCAGTTCCGCAGCGTAATCGCGAGGAAAAATATATAATACTTCCCGATCTGCAGCCGTGAGTGGCGGCCATGAGAACCGTTCGACGTGACTTATAAAAGGTAATTTTTCTATAAATCTTGTCGTAACAACATAAATATAAATGCGTCAAAAACCTGGCTTAATTGACAAGATCTTTATTAAACGAGATTTCAGTGGCGCCATCTATCCGATATCAACAAAACCGTCCGCTTTACATGCTACCACGACGAGCCGCCAAAGCCAGACGGCCGAGCCGGATGGCGCAGGCAGGTGGTCACGTGGTCGCGAGCGGGCCAGTTCTCGGTGCTCACTGATGGCACTAGAGAGAGAGAGAGCTTCACCGGAACCCCGCGCGCCCCCTTCTCCTCACAACGCACGTGACTGGGAAGATCGAAAAGGAGTTCAGAGGTGCCAGAAACCTTAATCGTGTCAATTAAAAAAAAGAAAAACAACTAGGACACTTAGGTTAAAGCGGTTTTTGTTCTTTACTTCACAATGGTCGTGACACCAATTCCCACAATTATTCAAGCACAACGCTGACATTGTTGCAAAGCTCCTTTAAAGGTCTCTGTTCAGACGACCCTCCTCTTCCAAAGAAAGTGCGCTGAGAAACTGAGAGAAGGAGATGAGAGGCCGCGGGGATTCGAATAATTAGTGGGTAGACCTAAAGCTAGTTGCCTTTGTCTCCCCTACATTCGCGGGACACGTTCGAATGCAAAAGCCAACCGCCGGACGCCGGCATCCGCCGTTCTAAAGCTTTCGACAAGTGCAGTGGACATGATTTAGGCGTACCCACTAAGCATTCCAAACAGACGCCGGCGTCCTTACGTCCCCCGCACGCTCTGATCTCCTTCTCTCCCTCAGCCTCTCGGCTAAGTGTCTTCTGTTTCTTTTTTTTTTTCTTCTCTTTCTCTTTTTGTGTAAGAATGTTTTCCCGCGTTCTCATGCTAAGCGAGAAACATTACCAGCGACGTTTACCTCCAAAGTACTACCAACTAAAAACATTGACGTCTTTAAGGATATAAATCAGCTGGTACCAGAGCTAACACTCCAAGGGTGTTACATCAACATGCTTTAATCGTGATGAACACCTGAAAAATGGGATGCTGCCGATCTTCAGCATCCAAGGGATATTTGTTCCGAGCACCGAGTTCGGAAACACCAGTCACTGCATGCATTTCTCACATTAACAGAAACAGCAACTCCAGATACACTAGATTACGTATGGGAATCATGGGCACGGTGATTGCTCCACCACAATATATAATCGACATATTAAGGATAGTCATTCGCATGTGACCAGCACTTCAATTTCGAAAGTTACACGTGTGTCGTTTTGTCCTCATCAATAATCCGTCTCAAGAATAGTATATATCTAAATTGAAGGTATGTTTCTTCAATTAAAACGCACTGATACAAGCCATCATTATTCGAGGTCGTCGCTAAAACAACTTCGGCTGAAGCGAATGTCAGTGCGGTAAACACCCTTTAAAAAGGGTATGCGGCACACCGTATCACCTTTTTCCACGTTCTTTTTAGGCCCTTGTATAATGAACAATGTGCAATGAAACGGCTGCCGGTTTTCAGTTGAAGAGGGATGTACTTGGTCGAAATATGGGTGCTGGCAGGCTGTTTTCATGGGAGTTAAAATCTGAAACTTTCTTTCTACCTAAGGAAGGAAATGTCTTATTGTGTATTACATATGGAAGGCTTTATTAACCCGCAACCAATATATTTTCTTAATTTAATGAGCAGCCTTTTCAGGGAAGTGACGAACACGGTCTTTATTAAATTCCCAGCTGTATTCAGCGGGTAAATTAAAGGTACGTGACCTGACGCTTTTTGAGGTCATGAAATCCCACGATTCCACTACTTGACATCGTGGCGTCAGAATGCGTTACAAAACGCTATGGTGTAACATTACCTGACGAAATGTAACATCAGGTGGCGGGACCAGACGTCGCACAAGGTCACGGCACGTCACATCAAATTTCCTGCTCAAGTTAGCGGGAAATCACGTCGAGTGTCCCAAAAAGACGACCGGTCTCTATGAAGCGATTATCTGTGTAAAGCGATATATAAGATAATTATATAAAACAGCTTTCAAGCTAAGTGTGCAGCATTTGATTGACAGGACTCCAGTCCGAAACCAGCGCCTAAATAGTCCATGTACCATATGTGTGAGTCGCATTGGGCTAGTGTCTCGAATGCAGAGGCTTCGTGCTACCCGCTGGGAGTGTCTTCGCTCCTTTCATCATCGTTCGCAAGAAAGCTGCCACTAACGTGTCGCAGAATTCTTAAACTCACATAATAACACCGATCGAAGGAGCCAGACGAAGTTTCGGAGAATGTCTGTCGGGGCATACATAATAAAATAATAATAAAAACAGAAGGGGGAGGGGGGAGGACGTCTAACTATTTAATTAAAAACCCACTCGGTAAGCACTTCAGTGGTGTGTGCGGCGATGGCCATTGAGGAATAGCATCTTCGTGTTTTTTTGGGTTTTTTTCGTGTTTGCCTGGAAGCTTGCATGGCTAAGCATTTCTCAATCTTTTGGTGATATCCCGACGCCCATTGACGGAGGCGGATGTAACAGAGCCCAGGGACCTATATGTGTTTTCTGGCGGTGTTCGAACGTGCCATGGTTCCAAAAAAAGATTTTGTCTGGGGTTAGTTTCAACGGTGAGGGTGCGGATTTTCTTGAAGTCAATGCAATCAGCCGGTCCTTTACTTCGCAGTGTTCAATGACTCCGCCGCACCCATGATCAAAATTGCGAGCGTTGATCGCTATTTCCATCGCGGTGAATCCTTTCCCGAAAGTTCTTTGTTTCGCCGATGCACGTACGTGACTGGAAAATCCTCGTAGTGTATCTCATACACAACGCCTCGCGCCTTTTTTTTTCAGGGAGCGGGGGACGGGGGATTTTTTAGTCGTGGCATATGCCGTCCAAGTGATGATATTGACTTGCGGGCCACCCTCTGCACTCTTGCAGGAATGTTCATTCATTTTCTTCAGGATCTTTATAGTAAATAGTATATAGAGACTGTAGGTAATCTATAGGAAATGTGTCCACTACTCCCTTTAGTGTCTATAGCGTTTTGGTTGCTGTTCATGGACTTTCCGTAAAACTCGTTGAATAGAGACTGTATAGAAATTGTATACGAAATTACATATAAACAAATACAAATTCTAACAACGTTTCTATACTCTTTTTATATAAAATATGCCAGATTTTCACGAAAAAAAACAATAAATTTCGTGCATTCATTTTAGGTTTGTAACAATACATAAATGAAAATAAGCACTTGCCTTCTGCAAATGCGGAGACATCCAATAAACATACACAAGTCATGGAGCACTAATAACACAAGTAATTCAGTAACGTTAATAATCTTATTTTGCGCGTGTCTATACTGGCTGGTTAGTCTGCCTCAACGGGCGACTTCTCTCTCAGATGTAGTTGAGAAGTTTAGCTAGTGCAGTATAACCACTAGCCTGGGGTCCTTAACGTGAATCACCCAGTAGTGATAAATGACCGCAAGCCGGTACGATGCTCACACAGATCGAAACGAGAAGGGGTGAGGATTGAGCCGAGGATCCCTGGGTTTGGCAGCGCGAGGTTTCGCTCCACATGCTCCGAGCTGGTGCGCGCGAGCTTACTCGGCTACCTCTTGGAGAGGGGACTGAGGAGTGGCGCTCTCTAGTGACCACCTCTGGAGGTAACGCTGTGTGGAAAACAAACACTCCCAACTCAATGATTAGTGCAGTCGCTGACATGGAAGACGACGCGACTCAAGGCCCGTAAAGGGTATGTAACACTATTATTTTCTCCTAAATGCGTCTAGATGTAAGTAATCCAGTTGCCTCTTACATTCAATGTCACTGAAGTTCTCTTGGAAGGAAAAACAAGCACATGTGCGTCCACGCGCGGATGTACAGGACCCTTCGCGTCGTGTCGGCCGCGCGTGCAGCATCTTTCGTGGCGGGCACGGCGTCCCTGTTTTTTTAGAGCGCAGCCTTTAGGCTCCCGTTTCCGGGTTAAACGGCGTCGGCGTCGCCGCCGGCGTAACAGCGCGTTGCATTATGGGTCGTTTGCCATAATGACGTCACACGTGACGTCACGTGTGACGTCACGTGTGACGTCACACGGGTAAAATTTCTTCACACGTGTCAAGAGGGTAAAATTTCTTCATTAAATTTGGCGGGAAAATTTACCACTGAATTTCGCGAGACGCTTCCCAAAATGACGTCAGACGTCTAGTCACGTGTAACATGTGACGTCTCACGTCAATTTAGCGGTAAAATTTCCCAGCTAAATTCGGAGAGAAATTTCCCCGCTAAATTTAGCGGGAAAATGTTCGCTAAATTTAGTCGGAAATTTAGCGAACACTTTTCACTAAATAGAAGGATGGCAGGAGAGGAGGACGGGCGGGGAAGGAGGATCATACCCTCCCCTCCTCCTCAAGAGCTGCGCTCCAATTCAGCGTTACAGAGAACTGTAAACGTCTATATTTGTTTCCCCTTTTTAATTAACAAAACACGCGCTTCACTGTT